TAACCTTTCCTCACTGGCCTCCTTTTCCCCCTCTTCTAATGTCCCGAGCCAAGGCTTGGTTTGGTGGGCCATGTAATTGGAACCCATCTTTGTAGAAGTCGGTGCAGCTGTAGGACATGGCACCATGAGTTAGGGATAGAGAAGTTCTTCATCATTTAGCAGTACCTTGCTGGAGGTAGGTTTTTTGGTTTTTTTTTTGTTTGTTTGTTTGCTTTTTGAGACAGAGTCTTACTCTGTTTCCCAGACTAGAGTGCCGTGGCATCAGCCTAGCTCACAGCAACCTCAAACTCCAGGGCTTAAGCAATCCTTCTGCCTCAGCCTCCCAAGTAGCTGGGACTACAGGCATGTGCCAGCATGCCCAGCTAATTTTTTCTATATATTTTTAGTTGGCCAATTAATTTCTTTCTATTTTTAGTAGAGACTGGATCTTGGTCTTGCTCAGGCTTGTTTCGAACTCCTGACCTTGCTTAATCCTCCCGCGTTGGCCTCCCAGAGTGAGCCACCCCACACACCCTGTTTTTTGTTTTTTAAGAGGAAAAGCAATTCCTGGTCTCCCAGCCAGGTCCAGCCACAAAAATCTAGAAGAGTGTGGGTAGGACTGGGACCCCTCATCTCCCTCACCTCCACCCACCAATTCTCACATTCACATTGTTTCTTAAAAGTCATAACAGTGAACTTTCCACTTCCTGGAGGCCCACAACATAAGCTGGGCAAACAGAGTGGCTTGTTTTTTCCTCTGTGTTGGGGCCTGAGATGAGATAGTGACTAAAGTTTAAGGCTGAGGGTTCCTGTAGGGCCCATATAATCATTAGCATAGCCAAGGCCTGGGGGGGGGGGGCTGTTTCTAGTTTTAGCTCCAACACTTCCTGTGTGCCAAAGCTGCCTCAGCCTCCTTTTTTAAAAAACAAAAAAAACCCCTTCAGTCATAGAAATGTTCAAATATATACAAAAGTAGAGAAAATATGATAATACTTCATGTACTTATCACCCAGCTTTAATAATCATCATTTGGCTAATCTTGTTTGATCTATTAATATATCCCTCAAGCACCATTCCCAACCCCAACATTATTATTATTTTTTTGAGACAGAGTCTCACTCTATCACCCTGGCTACAGTGCAGTGGCATCATCACGGCTCACTGCAACCTCAAAGTCCTGGCCTCAGGTGATCCTCCCACTTTGGCCTCCCAAAGTGCTAGAATTATAGGCATGAGCCACCGTGCCCAGCCCAACATTATTTTTAATTAAAAATTTTATCGAGAAAACTGTAGATTCATATGTAGTTGTAAGAAATAATACAGAGAGATCCCTTATATACTTTTCCCAGTTTTCTTAATGGTAACATTTTGCAAAACTATATTATCACAAGGATATTGACATTTATACAATCCACTAATCTTATTTACATTTCCCAGTTTTGTACTCATTTGTGTGTATTAAAAATTACATGGTTTATCACTGGTGTAAGCTCATGTATCCATCACCACAATAAAAAAAATGAACAGTTCAAATACCAAACGAGCCCCATTGTCGCCCTTTTATGACCATACCCACTGCTATCTCACTGCCTCTTCCACTTAATCTCTAACATCTGGCAAGCACTAACTCTGTCTTCTAAGTTTTTGCCATTTATAAAATGTTATATGAATGGAACCATACAACCTGTAACTTCTTGGAGTTGGCTTCTTTTTGTTTTTGAGACAGAATCTCACTTTGTTGCCCAGCTAGAATGCTGTGGCGTCAGCCTAGCTCACAGCAACCTCAAACTCCTGGGCTCAAGCAATCCTTCTGCCTCAGCCTCCCTAGTAGCTGGGACTACAGTCATGTGGCACCATGCCCCGCTAATTTTTTCTATATATCTTTAGTTGTACAGCTAATTTTATATTTTTAGTAGAGACGGTGTCTCGGTCTTGCTCAGGCTGGTCTTGAATTCCTGACCTTGAGCCATCCTTCCCCCTTGACCTTCCAGAGTGCTAGGATTATAGGCGTGAACCACTGCACCCGGCCAGGATTTGTTTCTGCTCAGCATAATTACCTGGCAATTCATACCAGTTGTTGCATGTATCAATAGTTTGTTCCTTTTTAATGCTGAGTAATATTTTATGGTATGAATGTACCACAGTTAACCCTTTACCTGTTGAAGGTCATTTGGGTTGTTTCCAGCTTTTGACTATTATGAATAAAGCTGCTATGAACATTTGTCTATAGGTTTTGAAATGACCACAATATGGAATTTATAGCCCACATTCTGGGGACCAGAAGTGCTCACTGTGTCATTGTTTCTAAGGGCTTTTCAGTGGACAGAATTCGGATAGAGATACTTTTTTTTTTTTTCTGAGACAGAGTCTCACTTTGTTGCCCAGGCTAGAGTGAGTGCCGTGGCGTCAGCCTGGCTCACAGCAACCTCAATCTCCGGGGCTCAGCAATCCTACTGCCTCAGCCTCCCGAGTAGCTGGGACTACAGGCATGCGCCACCATGCCCGGCTAATTTTTTTTTTTTTTGTATATATATTTTTAGTTGGTCAATTAATTTATTTCTATTTTTGGTAGAGACGGGGTCTCGCTCAGGCTGGTTTCGAACTCCTGACCTTGAGCAATCCGCCCGCCTCGGCCTCCCAAAGTGCTAGGATTACAGGCGTGAGCCACCACGCCCGGCCTATACTTTTAAATTTTAGGTAAAATATACTATAAATTCATATAGATACTTTCTATCCCAATTCAAGGCTATAGGGGTTTTGCATAATATCCTACATTTTACATTTGCATCTACTACATCTTTTTTTTTTTTTTTAATAGTAGCCACAAAGGAAGATTTTTTTTTCACTACATCTTTTATGCTAAAATTCCAGTTCTGACAACATCAATGAGGTTATCTGCTTTATCTTACACATTCTCTCCTATTTCCAACAAGACTACTAAGAACAAAATAAGATTTTTTGGTAGTTTTTTTTTTTCAAAAAGGCAGTTATTTTTGTCCTTAGGGTAGATCTCAGAGATGCACAAATTACTGTTTTAAAGTCACTTCAGAAGTTACCTTCTGTGTAGTTATGTCACTAACTAGATCCACATTTAGGTTCATTGGTTTTATTCATTTTTTCTTTCAACTTTAGAGATTGATTTTTAAAACTAATTTTTTCATGTAACCATGTAAAATATATACATTTCCCAAGTCAAATATACAAAATGCAGTATATTCAGAGCCACTTTTCCCTTCATTCTATTCTGTTTGAGACAGAGTCTCACTTTGTTGCCCAGGCTAGAGTGCCGTGGCGTCAGCCTAGCTCACAGCAACCTCAAACTCCTGGGCTCAAGCAATCCTGCTGCCTCAGCCTCCCGAGTAGCTGGGACTACAGGCATGTGCCACCATGCCCGGCTAATTTTTTCTATATATATTAGTTGGCCAATTAATTTCTATTTATAGTAGAGACGGGGTCTCACTCTTGCTCAGGCTGGTTTCAAACTCCTGACCTCAAGCAATCTGCCCGCCTCGGCCTCCCAGAGAGCTAGGATTACAGGCGTGAGCCACCGCGCCCGGCCTTTTAAAGTTTCTTAATAATCTACACTTCTACTTTCAAAAAATATTCATACTTGGCCCAGTGCAGTGCCTCAAGCCTGTAATCCCAGCCACTTGTGAGGTGGAGGCGAGAGGATCCCTTGAGGCCAGGAGTTCCAGAAGAGCCTGGGCAATATAGGGAGAGCCCAAGACCCACTCTCTACAAAAAGTAAAAAAAGTAGTGGGCTTCTAGTCCCAGCTACTCCAGAGGCTGAGGCAGGAGAATGCTTGAGTTGGAGGCTGCAGTAAGCTATGATCATGTCACTGCACTCCAGCCTGGGGCGACAGAGTGAGACCTTGTCTCTTAAAAAAAAAAAAAAAAAAATTGTGCCTCCCTATTCCCTTTCACAATTGAACAGTAAAGATAATGGACATACTTTCTTATTTCTGACTGTAGCAGGAAAGCCTCTACTGTTTCACCTTTAAGATTGTGGATGGAAAAAAATCCAAGCTCTGAAATATTGGAAGATGTTTATTCTGAGCCAAATTCGAGGACCATGACCTGGAGCCACTTTCAAGAAACCCTGAGCAAGTGAATGTGCTGTGGTTGGGTTATAGTTTGGTTTTATACATTTCAGGGAGACAGAGGTTACAGGTAAAGTCATAAATCAAATCAATGCGTGAGAGGCATACATTGGTTTGGCCCAAAAAGGTGGGACATCTCAAAGCCGGGATGGGGGTGGGGGTTGGGTGGGGAGCTTACAGGTTATAGGTGGTGGTAAAGATTACTTGGCTGACAATTGGCTGAGAGAGTTAGGCTTTATCTAATAAACCAGAAAGGAAATGCTTAATTTAAGGTAAAGGTGTGAGCACTCTGGGAGGTCCAGACAGGAGGATCTTTCAAGTTAAGGATCTGCTAGGATGCTTGAGTTAAGATAGGGGGCTTTCTATGTTTTAGGTGATGCTAATGCTATAACTGAATCAGGCTGGGAAGTAAACCACACTATATTTCCTTAACAAAACCTTTCCTTGTGAGATTTTACCATTTGTGAGCATGGTTTAGGAAGGAATTTTGAGCAAAAGAAAAGATCAGAGTTCAGTCCCCAAGATCTTCCTTTAAAAATCATTTTGTAGGCCGGGCGCGGTGGCTCACGCCTGTAATCCTAGCTCTCTGGGAGGCCGAGGCGGGCGGATTGCTCGAGGTCGGGAGTTCAAAACCAGCCTGAGCAAGAGCGAGACCCCGTCTCTACTATAAATAGAAAGAAACTAATTGGCCAACTAATATATATAGAAAAAATTAGCCGGGCATGGTGGCGCATGCCTGTAGTCCCAGCTACTTGGGAGGCTGAGACAGAAGGATCGCTTGAGCCCAGGAGTCTGAGGTTGCTGTGAGCTAGGCTGACGCCATGGCACTCACTCTAGCCTAGGCAACAAAGTGAGACTCTGTCTCAAAAAAAAAAAAAAAAAATCATTTTGTAAAATGAGGGCTATGCTATTCCTTCTATTTGATCTTCAATAGTATTTTCTGGACAGATAAAACAAAGGATGTGAAAACTCTCAAATTGAAGTCCATTCTGGGAGAGCCTCAAGATTCCTGAACCCAACTCACTACCTGTTGCATAAGAATAGACGGAGGCTCAACAGAACTGAGGGACTTGCCCCAAGTTAATCTAGGGAGCCGGTGGAAGCTCCAGTCTCCTGTTCCGCAGTCCAGGGGTCTTCGGCTACCTGGAGTAGGTTGGGGCCCAGGACAAATACACTGACATTAAAAAAAGAAAACAACAAAATACTGTACCCAGAATACACACATCTATTTTTATATGGATTAATATTTTCAGGAACTCCTGAAGGGAAAAAGAAGTCACAAAAGGCCGAAAGAGTGCCTGAGTCCTAGGAGGGAGCCCAGGGCTGGGTCAGCCAGCCCTACCCCCACTGAGAGACGCTCCGGGCTGAGTTCCGAGGCCACTGAACATCCGGAAATGCTGTGGGGGCCCCGAGCGGGGAGGTCTAGATGCGGAGACATTGGACCGTTAAGTTAAAGCTGACCCATTTGGCGCCCCAAGAGGGAACACTGACACGCGCGAAACCTCAGCACAAGCCGGACGAAGATTCCTCCGAACAGGTACACCACATCGGAGATTTCAAAAGAAGTGGCCCTGATGAGGACCCATAGCGCTTCACCGGGCTTCAGTTCTAAAATACCTCGCCCTAGGGGCGGCGCCAAGGTTGTGCAGACGGAAGCCCGCCGGGAAGCTGGGGGCGGAGCAAAGGAAATGACGCTGTAGGAGCACCAATAGGGTGGGGCGGAGGGGTGTTGTCTCCGCCCTGGCAGCGGTGCCTGGGAGGGCGGGAGAGAGGCGGTGGCGAGTCAGTGCCCGGTGGCCCTAACTTAGCTCCCCTACGACCCTGCACCCCCTCAGCAACTCTAAAGATGATGAGCTGTGGGGGGTCAGAGCTGGAGTTGGTGCACGGGGAAGAGGCCGTGGCAGTCCTGGGGCCACCCCCAGAACCCCGAGTCCAGGCACCCCGCGCCCCAGTGCCTGAGCCCGGCCTGGACCTGAGCCTGAGCCCACTGCCCGAGAGCCCCGAGCCGCGAAACTGCAGCCCCGGGCGGCGGAAGGGGCGGGCGGAGAAGCGGGGAGGGACTCGGAAGGGGCGGCAGGTGAGCTGGGGGAAGGTCTTACACCCATCCTGTTGACCCCGCGCCCACCTCTTCATGGCCCTGCTCTCTGGTCCCAGGTCCGTTTCCGCCTGGCGCCGCCTTCCCCAGTACGGTCCGAGCCGCTGCCGCCGCCGGCCGCTGCACCGAGCGACAAGCCGGCGGCGCCGCAGGAACTGGAGGTTCCCGGGCTGCAGAGCAGTCTGGCCTTGAGCCTCGAGTTGCAGGCCGCGCGGGCCGCAGCTGGGAGCCAGTTTGATGCCACAAAGGCCGTGGAGGAACAGCTGAGAAAGTCGTTCCAGATCCGCTGCGGTTTGGAGGAGAGCGTGTCCGAGGGTGAGGAGGCGAGGCGGTCGGCGGAGAGCGGGAGTAGGGGTGAAGGACCTCGCTTACCTCCGCCCCCCCTGCTGTCTCAGGGCTGAACGTACCGCGCTCCAAGCGGCTGTTCCGGGACCTGGTGAGCCTGCAGGTACCGGAGGAACAGGTTCTGAACGCTGCACTGAGGGAGAAATTGGCTCTCCTGCCGCCGCAGGCCCGAGCCCCGCCCTCAAAGGTGAAGGGACCTGGGCGTGGGGCTTCCTCCCTGTACCCCTCCCCTCCCCCGTCATGGATTCTTTTCACAGAGTGTAACGTGGCTTTGGGCCCCAACTCCAACAGGAGCCATCTGGGCCAGGGCCAGACATGACCATCCTGTGTGACCCAGAAACACTATTTTATGAATCTCCACACTTGACCCTGGATGGTCTGCCCCCTCTCCGGCTTCAACTCCGGCCCCGGCCTTCAGAGGACACCTTCCTCATGCATCGGACACTGAGGCGATGGGAAGCTTAGACCTCAAAGCTCCCTGGATGGCTAGTTCATATTTTTGTGTTAAAATTATTTTTCAGAATAAAATGGTTTTGCTAACAAATGGGACTCTTCTTGGAGTTCTAAGGTGGGGCTAAAACCCCACCTGGGGGCCGGGCTCGGTGGCTCACACCTGTAATCCTAGGACTCTGGGAGGCCGAGGGTGGGTGGATTGTTTCAGCTCAGGAGTTCGAGACTAGCCTAAGCAAGAACAAGACCCCGTCTCTACTAAAAATAGAAATTACTTGGACAGCTAAAAATGTATAGAAAAAATTAGCTGGGCATGGTGGCACATGCCTGTAGTCCCAGCTACTCGGGAGGCTGAGGCAGGAGGATCGCTTGAGCCCAGGAGTTTGAGGTTGCTGTGAGCTAGGCTGATGCCATGGCACTCTAGCCCAGGCAACAGAGTGAGACTGTCTCAAAAAAAACCAAAAACACACCCCCGGGGTTTCTCCACTAGCCTCAGGTTGGAAGCTGCCTGGAAGTAGAGTTTTTGAGCTTTTTAGGAACTTCATAGAGTCAGAGCAAGTGGAAAACACTGTCCAAATAAGAGGTTAAATACTCCTCCTTCCCTCACCACCTTACCTGCCTTTCCCTGACTTCAGTCACAGCCACTACGTTTTTGATGACACTCGTCCCTTTTCACCACTTATTTGTGATCATTTAAAAGGATGGCCTTCCCTGATTACCTGTATCAATTAACCTGCAAGGCTGCTACCAGCACTGGAGTTAATGAAAATTATCTTTCTTTTTACCTTGAAGGGCTTTGCCCATCTTGTTTATGCCTGACCCAGAGGGTTCAGTATTTGTGGAACAAATGTTCATTCAAAGTTCCAGAAACACCTGAGCCACTAAAGAGTTTTCATGTTAATTGCCTATACATCTGATTCCACAGCACACAAAAGGTGGTTGGTGGGTCAAAGAGCAGGTAGATAGATGGCTCTGGTCCAAAGTGCTTTTTCTACCTCCACTGCTAACTCTTTTCAAAATTAGCCTTCTGCCTAAAGCTTCCACGCACAAAGTTTGTCAGCAGGGTTTTTTGGGGAAAGAAGATGGGACTCTTCAAGTTCCACATCAAAAGTTGCATTACACCCCTTTTCCTGATTAGGGTTCTGTGTACTTGTGTGTAGATTTGACTAGCAGTCAACAATCTTCCTGAACACCGAAAAACCTGTCTTCCTTGAAACTGGAGTATGAGCAGAGAGGAAGCACAGGTTCTACGGGGAGGCACTATCCCTTCCCTACCAGCTACAAAGTATCAGACAGACACAGGTGTTGGGGCCACTGCCCTAGACATCAAGTTTATTGTGCTGTTCTCACACATTCAAAAGCCCAGCCCCTTCTCCCACTGGGGGACAGCAGAGGGAAGGATTTTCACAGTACCTGCGTGCCTCCCTGCCAAGCTTCCCCCTCTAACCTTCAGTCCATCTATCCGTGGTCCATTGAAATGCAGCTAGGGACATGGGCCGAGGAGAAATGGGAATCTCTCCTTGGGAGAACAGGAGGAAAGGGCTAGAGAATTTGAACCTCCCACCTCCCATGCCCCAGGAGAACAGAGGTCAGCAAACAGTCCATGCCATCCAGCCCAGCAGGCTGGGGGCGGGGATGATAATGGTGGTAACTCCAGCACAGCTGGGCTTGCTGCTTAGGTGCCAGAAGTGTAGGGGAGGCAGGGGCAGCAACATAAGAAAAGCTTTCTCTGCAGATCCAAGAAAGGAAACTTTTTGGAGTCAGAAAGGAAAGACCTTAGGATACTTTCCTCTTCCCCCAGGTCCTTAGGAGCAGTGAGGGCAGCCTCTTCACACTTTCTGTTCAGGGGGCCACTTAGTGGCTGGGGGAACGGGCCTTGTGGAACAGGTACACAGGACGCTGGAAGCCTGAGAGGAGAGTGTGCAATCAGAAGGGCTGGCAGGACCTCACGACTCCCCACAGAGTCTCTGTGCCCTCTCAGCCAAGACTGCCTCCCCCAACAAAATAAGCCAGCCTTACCTTTAGAGGTGTTGTGGGGTGTGGCCACAAGTTCATAGCTAGAAAAGCCCACCTCTGGGGACATCAGGTAGGAACTGAATTGCTCTGGCTTCAGCTTGATTCGATAGTAGTTCTTGTAGATTGTTTCCTAGGGAGAAAGGCAAGGGACCACTTAAGCTTGCTGCCTCTCCTCCCTTGGCCAAGGGTGATGCCCACCCCGGGGGCCTTTTCAGCTTGTTCAGAAAGTCCTTTTTCTGCTTCCTTTAGGCATTTTTTGCCTACACCAAAGGAATAATTATTCCCCATTTCCATTGAAACCCAACTCACTGTAAGAGTCTTTCTCTTGCCATAGGATGACCAGGGTTGAGGCTCCAGGACCAGGATACCCCCAGGACGTAGGTGCCGGAAGATCCGGCGAAACATGCGTTTCAGGCCCTCATCTCCCCAGTTCAGATGCACCCACTTGGTGAGGCTGAGGCAGAGCACCACATCATACTCTGGCGTTTGCGCCTCCACCAGCTCATCTCGATCCAGCACATAGTTACCCTGAAGGCAAGAAGTGGGGAAGGTCAACAGAGGGATTACAAGAACCACAGCTTCCACATAACCTACTCTGCAGCCTCACTTTAGCTTGTGGTCACATTCTTCTCAGACTGACTCCCAAATGGTGCCCTCTGAGTCTCATTTTCTCTCTACTCTTTCCTGTCTCTCTCTCTGCTTCCTACTGATGGTAAAAACCAAACAAGCATAAAAAAAGGAGCCTGGGTAATTTTAAATGGAGCAAATCACCCATCCATGAAGTCATGCAAACTGGGGTCAAATTACAGTGGGAGATGTCAGAGTTCTCCCAAGACCCTATCCTGTGCTTATTTGCAGCCACAAACATTAAGCAGAGTGACAATGTTATGCAAGAGTAACTACCCAGGTTTCAAAGAGAGACCTGTGGTTCCCTCCCTGTAGTTGGGGCTGGCAAAATTTCAGGCTTATTTTTCCTTTTTCTGAGAGAAATGAAGAGCCACGTCCCTTAGGAAACCTTTTCTAGGTGATAAGCTCACCACCACCTACTGGAAAATCCATTCTTCAGGCTCAACTCAACACGCTGTCAAATATTCTGGCTGATAGCCTGATGAGTGTTCTGTGGGGAGCTATGTGCAGTCAGAGGACAGACATTTTGCCAGGCACAGTACCCTTCCCTCTCTGAAGAGGAGTGTCTGACTCTTCCCCCTCCCACTATCTAGGGTCAATGTGGATATGATCTAAAGTCAAGCCACCGGACTTCTGACCACTGACACTCTTCAATGAACTGTCTAGGGAAACAAAAGCTGCTGATGTAAACAAGGTCCCTATTAAAGGAAAGAAACTGTAAATATTAGTCTGCCACTACCCTAATCTCTCCCCACACCCCCAAGGCATTCCATGTATGACACCCATCCCTGAAGGTCTGGGCTGGGAGCAGGGCAAAAGGAGTCGTCATCCTCTATCTTGGGGAAGAGATCCTTGCAGTCATGAGGAAGGACCCCAAGGGTTAAAGTCCCACACCTTTCCAGGTTATCAGAGGGGAAAGACATCCGTCAGAGGCTCTCACTCAGCAATCCAGACCCTTCTCTTGAGGATCTGGTTCTCCTAGCAAGGAATGAATGCACGAAAACCCCTCTGGGTCATATCTTTCCCCTGCCACATTCTCATTTAATCTCCTCTTCATAGCTGGCCCCTATTCCAAGAGTCTCTGGACCCTCTTACCGTGACGAAGACAACATTGTTGGGGAAGACTGATGTGTCTGCTCCATCCAAGGGCACTTGGGGTGCAGCGATGGGACCCCGGCTGGCTGTCAGCGAGGCTGGAAAGCAGCTCCTCTTTCGGACAGTGGTGGTCCCTTCCTCACCCTCTGCCCCTGGGTCCCCCTCAGAATTCTGAGGTGGGAGACGCAGCTCCTCAGACAGGTAGTGTCGGATGTTTTGGCGGGCCGAATGGATAAGTCGGGCATCAATATCCAGGCCCACCATGCGGGACGGGCCCCACTTGCAGGCAATGCTCAGGGTGAGGTGGCCCACATTGCAGCCCAGATCTAGGACGTCCCGGCCCCTAAACCACTCAGGCTTCAACACCCGAAGGCGCCCATCCTCACAGGAAGGATTGCGGTACCCATAGTACTTGCAATAATTCCCATACTGGAACTTGCGCTGTTGCTTTTTGAAGCCTGCTGCAGGTAGTGGGTGGTGGTGGCGGCCTCCCCCACTCCCTCGGCCCTTTTCCTTGGAACCCTGGCTTCCACCCCTAGCCCCTGCCTCCGACTTGCTGGAAGTCCTGCGACGTTTTCGATGTCGTGAGGAGGAAGACTGGGGTGCAGAGGTAACTGAGGCAGCTGAAGGGGCTGAGAGGGAGCCTGAGGGACCCTGCAGGGCAGATGGAAGAGGAGATACGACTTCATCCCTGCAGTTGATGGCTGTGTTGAGTTCATAGGGTTGGGGTGCATCGCGGTTCTGGCCCCTATGCCGCTGCTGCTGCTGTGTGATGCCCTCCCCGTGGAGTGAGGGAGTGAGGGGGGCTGTGGGTAGCACAGAGTGGCTATCATTCCCTCCAGTTGCCTGCTGCTGCTGGTGGTGCTGTCCCCGGTGTCTATGCCGCTTCCGACCAGTCTTGAGTGGTGAAGCAAGAACTACTTGGGCCTCATCAGTGCAAGTATTGAGACTGAGCGGGTCAGTAATATCTTTGGGGATGAGGATCTCCACTGGGTCTCGCCCTTTGGCCGGAAGGGGGGATGACTTAGGGGTCTCCGCATTGAGTGCTCGGCTCACTTCCTCATCCAGGAGACTATTTAGGTTTAGTGGGTCAAAGATATTGCCCCCCAAGAGGAAGTTGGAGGGCAATACAGAGTCACAGTCCGAATTAACCCGCCTGCGCCTCTTGAAGGCCGGATGTTTGAAGCCTCCACCACCTCCTCCCACATTACAGCTATTTCTCCTTTTGCCTCCACCCCCCCCAGGGGGCCGGTGGGGCTGATAGCCATTACGCGGTCGAGGAGGGGCAGGGGGGCCCAGTTCTGTCCCGCCCCCTCCCCGTCGCTCCTCCCCCAAGTCCAGGGGAGCGGCTCGCCCGTGGGGATCCGACAAACGGGCCTCCCCGTGCGACTGCGTCTGGGGGCCGCCCCCTCGGTGTTGCTGCGCTGGGCCGCCCCGAGGGGTGGATGCGGCCCTGGGGCTCTCCGTGCCAGCCCCAGAAGCTGCGGCCCCCGCTGAGTGTGCGCGAGGGCCCGGCCCACGCTCTGTCCCGCCGCGGAGCTCCCCAGAGGCGGCCTCTTGGTACGGTGGCACCGAGGGGCCGCCCCCTCCGCCCGACTGGTCTTTGAGCGGCGGCGGCGGGGCCGGCACCAGAAACGGCTCCTTCTCCGCCGCCATCTCGATCATTTCCTCCCCTTATTCCGTCCCAGTCGAGGGTAACCAGGGGATCAGGGGGCTGAACCCCCTCTTCCTTGACCCCGCTCCCTTCCCCCCTTTCCCAAGTGCGCGCGCAGCTCTGCTCTTCTCCTCTAGTCTCGCGCCCAAGCGCCTCCCCCCGATGCGCGCCCCACTCGCCCGCGAGACCAAAACAAGATGCCCGCGAGACCCGAACAACTCGAGGAATCAACCGCGCGTGCGCCGGCCCTTTTCTCCTCTACCACTACCCCTTCGCCACGAGCGCGCACTGCGGGAGCGCGTTCCTCTCGCCCCCGAGCCACGCATGCGCACTCTGCCACCGCCCTGGTTGCGCGCGCATCAGAGTACGAACCAACTTAACGGCTCCGGGAGTTTAAATATAGCCCCCCCCTCGGTACCCCCCCAAAGCCCACCACCCCAAACTGACACCCTACTTTCCTTCGCAGCTATGTCCGGCCCTACTGATATCCTTTTTGTCTCTGCCGCGCGATCCCACCCACCGTAGGCGGGGAACGGGAGCTGGTGTGAAAAGGTCTCCTTGACACCCGACCCTTGTTCCTGAGGAATGAGTCTCGGCGGTCTCCGCCCGGCTCTAAACCCAACAACCTCCCTACCCCGCCTCCTTCCTCCCCCTGGTGGGCAGCGCCTGCGCACACCCTTTTGGGCTTGCGCGGGTAGATGCAGCACGTGCTGGAGAAGACGCCCCGCCCTCCACCCTGGGGGTGGGGACTGTTACGTCGCTTCCTAAAGTTTGGTATACGCAACGTGCGTCACCACGATTCGAGGGGTGTGGCTTCCAAACGAAAGAGGTGGACCTCATGAATTATTCATGAATGGTTGGTCGCACACCTCCCCCTCCCTTTGCCCACCTACTTAGAAGGGCTTCTGTGGCAGCGGAGGGGAGAACCTCAAAGTAGAAGAGCGGAAGGAGCGAAGCGTATTGACCGTCTTCCTACCAACGGTTCTCAGTAAAATACGATAGGCCATTTTAACTCACCCCCCTCGAAAATATTCTCTGCTGAACTGGGATTAAAAGCACTACAACAGTCGATGTTGTCCAACTTCCTCTTCCCCCGAAACGGCTGAGTTGTTCTCTCGTTCCTCCGCCTTCCCCCAATCGCAATCACCTGGGGACACCACGCCTTCCTCTACGCCTCCACACCCACGACCCCGACACCAACGCCCCCGCCCACTCCTCGGGCGCCTGCGCACGAGCCCTGCAGCCTGCAGGCTCGCCTGCTGCCAACGCCGCCGCTGGCTCGCAGGCCTTCCCGGACGCACGCCGCGGCTTTGCGCCGCCTTATATATAAGCGAGTGTGGGCGGGGAAGAAGATTTGGTCTGCTTTGGGGCCCCCTGCTTAGGCCAATGGGGAAGAAGCGATTCCACGCCGCTTCCCCAGGGTGAAGGTTGGCCTGGTTTCCCTGCCAACGGAGTGTTTAACTGAGCAGAGGGCGGTAGAAGCGAGAGTGGAGTTCAGGATAGTCGCAAATAATATATTAAAATAAAAGCGTGAAGGAGAGTAGAAGAAGGAGGAATAGGAATCAGGAAGCGAAAAGAGGAAGGAAAAGGCAGTATGGGACAGAGAGAAAAGTTAGTAAAAGAAAGATGTGCCTTAGGAATAATCAGGCGTTCCTGCCGCCGCCTAAAACACGTGAAATCCACGAGGATTGTGGTATTTGTAGTTTCACTGGGGCATTAGGCTGGAAGATGGCGGAAATACCGCAGCTGCGCAAACGCAGAAGTATCTTTCAGCTGCGCATGCGCCTTAGCTCCGGGAGCACGCGGCTGGGGGGAGGAGCTTGTGCACGTCCTCGCGCCTCCTCTTGGTGGCGGGAAAACTTGGTAGAGGTTGGAAGGGGTAGCGGAGTCCTAGCGGTAGCTCACTACACCCCTCGCTTGTAGATCCCCTTGCTCCGGAAGGTAGCTGACTTTTCTCTGGTTGCAGATGCAGGTGCTAGGCGGGGCCAATCCTGGTACCTGTTACCTGAGGAGAGAAGCTCTCTCTTCAGGGCGACAGGCAGCTCCTACTCCTCCTCAGAATTCCCAACCTCCAACAAACAAACAAAAATAACTCAGTATCATGTCAGGCAATGACTGTATGAGCGAGAACAAGGATCTTGGTGCATCAGCAGGAGCGGGGGCTGAGGGGAAATTCTCTCAGGGTGGGATTGTTGACAGGGAAAAGAGGCTAGAAAACCACTGTTTTACCCTTTGGGGAAAGCGAGGACATTTGACTCTGTGATACCACCGATCTTAATTGTTGTCTCTAACAGAGAATTTGGTGAGGGAAGAGAAGAAAATGAAAGCCTACCAAAAGGTCTTCCCTTTGGTTTTCAAGGTGGATTTAGGCATTTTCTAACTCCAAACCTTGACATCGTCTGAGGGGAAATGGTGCGGGATCTGGGATTCGCGGGCATGTGCTCCTTTAAGCGAAAATAACCCCGAAGGGCGAGGTTGAGGTCCGTACCAGTTGGGGACACGTGTGGGAACCTTTCAGGCAGTCTACAGCAAGAGTGTGAACGCTATCAACAGCCCATGAAGAAAGACCGTGTGTTTTGGTGATAAGTGGCTGTCTTTGTGCTTCCTTGCCCTTTAAACCGGGAAGCTTTAGTTCAGCATGAATTCATTTATAAACTTCTGTGCCAGAGTTAGCTCAGGCAGTTACTCCCGACAGCGAGGATCGTATTATAGTCAGTAAAGATAGCGGGAGTCTTTGTTCTTCTTGTTTGTTAAAAGTTTTAAATCAGGCTTGGTGAGGTGGCATGCACACACGAAAGAAAGGAAAGAAAAACGAAGAAAAGAAAGAAACTGCTACTAGTTAAATCAAGGCACAAAAATAAGCAGGAGTCCATATTGCTATTAGGCATTAATGCCAAAAGGAAATTAGATTTCAGCTTAAAGATTTTAAATATAGTCTTTAAATACAGTTTTTTGAGGCATAGGGAGTCTGTGTTAGAGGACAAGGCTAAAGGGTTTACTTTTGTTATCTTAGACCAAGGATTTCAGGAACAATATGAAGAGGAACAAGGGGGAAATTTGTGAACACATTCTAAATGGGGTGCGTGGGGGGAGGAAGACTACTGTTTTTTAAAAAAAAATTGGCGAGACTAAGTTATTTCACTAGATCAGTGATTAAATTTTTTGGTTTGAGGACCCTTTTATCCTCTTAAAATTTATGGGGGACTCCAAAAAGCTTTTATGTGATTTGTATCTATTAGTATTAATATGTTAGAGACTAAAACTGAGGAAAAATTTAAATGTTTATTTAGAAATAATAACAAACCCCTTACATGTTAACCTAAATAGTGTTTTTATGAAAAAATACGTTTTCCTAAGCAAAAGAAAATTTAGTGTGAAGAATGGCTTTTTTTTTTTCAAATCTGTTTCATTTCTGGCTTAATAGAAAACAGCAGGATTCTCATCTGTTTCTTCATTCAATCTGTAGTGGTACCTTGTTTTTGTAGAAGTATATGAGAGAATCCAGCTTAACACAGATATATATCTTGTTTTTGTAGAAGTATATGAGAGAATCCAGCTTACACAGATATATATCTTGTTTTTGTAGAAGTATATGAGAGAATCCAGCTTAACACAGATATATAGTTGGAAAAGGGAATGGGCTCTTAGTGGTTTTTGGACCATACTTTAAGAACTGATGAGCTAGGTGATTTTGTCTCAAAATTAATGTGATGATTTTTAGTATTCTAAGTGAAATAAAATTGTTTCTATTTTTTGGGAGCTCTATTGACCTTCCCTATGTTCCCTTTATTACTTCTTTCTTTGCTTTTTTTTTTTTTTTTTTAGACAGAGTCTCGCTTTGTTGCCCAGGCTAGAGTGAGTGCCGTGGCATCAGCCTAGCTCACAGCAACCTCAAACTCCTGGGCTCAAGCAATCCTACTGCCTCAGTCTCCCAAGTAGCTGGGACTACAGGCATGAGCTACCATGCCCGGCTAATTTTTTTTCTATATATATTAGTTGGCCAATTAATTTCTTTCTATTTATAATAGAAACGGGGTCTCACTCTTGCTCAGGTTGGTTTTGAACTCCTGATCTCAAGCAATCCCCCCACCTTGGCCTCCCAGAGTGCTAGGATTACAGGCATGAGCCACCACGCCAGGCTTATTATTCTTTCTAAGTTCTTTTCCCTCCTTGTTTACTCTCTTTTCTTATGTTTAGTGAGTGGGTCTGGTTTATGGAACTATGCTGGTTCTTTTATTAATACTTTCTTAAAGTCTTTGGGTGTTTCCACCTCTCCCCCAAACCACCTCCACCCTGCTTTTCATCTAAGTTAAAAAGAAGAAATTAAAACCTCAATATTATTCCTAAGTCTAGAGCCCCTAGTCATTTAGTAGGTGTACAGACGAAAGTTGGTTGTATTTATATAATTATTAACTGTGTATATTTTCTTTTTTCTCTCTTTGAACCAGCTTTCAATATTTGTTATTGTGAAACAGAGGAGCAGCAACGTGAGTTATCAGAAAGTCATTTTCCTGGCTTTCCCTTCTCTATTGCTTGATCAGGTTAGACCTTTTTAAAAAAAGTAACATTCTTCATCACACTCTCACTTTATATTATACAGATTATATTACACATCACTGTTATAGATTTACTACATCTTATTAACTCAACAATGATTCACATTTTTATCTAGTTGGTTGGGGCTCCAGAAGCATACTTTGGCCTAGGAAGATCTGTGTAGGTTCAGATAAAGATTTAAACCTAAATATTTGAAAAGTTTACATTTTTAACTTGGTCAAAATAGTCTGTTTTATTTAAAGAATTTAAAATAAGAAATCATATTTTGAAGTGTAATATTGTATGTTTTATTTATTTATTATTATTTATTTTTATTTATTTTTTGAGACAGAGTCTCGCTTTCTTGCCCAGGCTAGAGTGAGTGCCGTGGCGTCATCCTAGCTCACAGCAACCTCAAACTCCTGGGCTCAAGCGATCCTCCTGCCTCAGCCTCCCGAGTAGCTGGGACTACAGGCACGAGCCACCATGCCCGGCTGATTTTATATTATATATTATTAGTTGGCCAATTAATTTCTTCTATTTTTATGGTAGAGATGGGGTCTCGCTCAGGCTGGTTTTGAACTCCTGACCTTGAGCAATCCGCCCGCCTCGGCCTCCCAGAGTGCTAGGATTACAGGCGTGAGCCACCGCGCCCTGCCTATTTATTTATTTTTTGAGACAGAGTCTCGCTTTGTTGCCCAGGCTAGAGTGAGTGCTGTGGCATCAGCCTAGCTCACAGCAATCTCAAACTCCTGGGCTCAAGCAATTTTACTGCCTCAGCCTCCCGAGTAGCTGGGACTACAGGCATGTGCCACCATGCCCAGCTAATTTTTTGTATATATATTTTTAGTTGGTCAATTAATTTCTTTCTATTTTTCTTTTTTTTTTTAGTAGAGACAGGGTCTCACTTAGGCTGGTTTCGAACTCCTGACCTCACCTCGGCCTCCCGGAGTGCTAGGATTACAGGCGTGAGCCACCACACCCGGCCAATTATTGTATGTTTTAAAATGCACAAGGGAATGCAATGAAAAACTTCCTTCCACCCTGAGCCACCCACTCCTACTCCCCAGAAGCATTTTGATCAGCTTCTTGTATATTCTTCTAGAGATAATTTATGGATATATGAGCATATTATATAGACAAACATTTTTAAAAACCAAATATTGTCATCTGAAACACACTGATTTTTATTCTGCTTTTCTCACTTAGTATAGCTCTTCTTGTAGCTTAGATTACCTTTACAGGGACTTCTCATGATGTTTTTTGGAAATCTGGAGCTTGGGAAAAGATATGTTTGTCATTTGTGGTCAGATTAATATTTCTTTTGCAGCCTAATTTTATTCAGTTTCTAGCTTCTATTTAGGATTATAATAAAGGAGACCAATTTGCTTTAGTGTTTCTCCCCCAAATCCCTACTTGCCTTTTTTTCTGGAGCAAATGTATTTGGGGGTTGGTGGTGATAAAGATGGAAACAATGAGAAAAAGTGTTTCTTAATATAAAGGAAAATGGTTGCTTCAGAATAGCACATCTGAACTATTCATATTTATAGAAGAAAAGGAACAGAAAAATTCTGAAGAGTAATTTGAAAACACTTTATGCTCACCCCTGTAATCCTAGCACTCTGGGAGGCCGAGGCGGGCGGATTGCTCGAGGTCAGGAGTTCGAAACCAGCCTGAGCAAGAGCGAGACCTCGTCTCTATCATAAATAGAAAGAAAGAATTGGCCAACTAATATATATAGAAAAAATTAGCCGGGCATGGTGAGGTATGCCTGTAGTCCCAGCTACTCGGGAGGCTGAGGCAGGAGGATCGCTTGAGCCCAGGAGTTTGAGGTTGCTGTGAGCTAGGTTGACGCCACGGCACTCACTCTAGCTTGGATAACAAAGTGAGACTCTGTCTCAAAAATAAATAAATAAATAAAAACACTTTATATTCAGCGATGCTATGGCCACACGAAGTGAAGCCCCCAATACCTTTTGAGTTCATTTTGTGATTTAGAGAGAAGAACCCTACACCTTAAACAAGTTTGGCCATATAAGGGTCTTAAAATTTTCAAATTTTTTAAAGGGAAATGTATATGAATCAAAGGGTTGATTTTATGCTGCTTTTGGGTCTTCTTACAGTTGGGGATAGCAGAGTTGGAAGAATGAGTTTCAGTTTCAGAATCTTCCAAAACCAATAGCCAGAAACAAGATCACTGAATAGAATAGATCTGTTCTTAGTAGAATTTAGAGGCAAAAGTCCTGGGTTCATTTAAGGTCAAAAATGTATTAACATTGAGGTTTGGGGAAAACCACTTACCTTTCTTAGCTTATTTTTTTCATCTGTAAAAAGAGGAGATGAAGGTTTATGACCTCTAAAACCCTTCTCAGAGTTATAATGCTTATTATAATTGCTACATAAATGAAAATGGCATATATTCTCTAAACCTAAAGAAAACTGGGTAGAATGGCTATGAGAAGTTTAGGTTGATAAAAGGTAATTTTCTTCTAATAGCTGGTTAGAAATAATATCAATAGTGAGAAAGTATAAATTGAAAAAATGTATAAATTATTGGAATATCCCCAGATGAGTCTTGGTGCATTGGTAGGTCACAAATGGCTTATAGCTGTGTGGAGATATTAATTTCTTCAGCCTTTAGTATGGCCTTTTAGCTGCCTATGGCTGTAAGCAGCCTGGTTCCTTTTACCCTAGAATCCTTAGAAATATCATTCTCTATGTGTTTCAATATGTACTTTTAATGTCTGTTTTCTGTATATGTTAATATTAAAATGGTGGTGACGCACTAAATTAGACTATAAGAATGTAGCATAGCATAGTTATTAGCATAAACTTTGAAATCAGACTGGTTCTAATCCTGATTTTACTACATATCAATTACTTAATGTCTTTAACCTTCAATTTCTTTAAGTGTAAAATGGTATCCATCTCATAGATTTGTTGGGAAAATGATACTTAAAGGGCAGAGAATATAGTCAGTGCTTAATAAGTGTTGCCCATTATCATTAATCAAAATATCAATAGTAATAACGAAGCATACTGATGTAGTGTAGAACATCTGTGAGTAGATTGCTGAAGATGAACTATGACTATCAAAGAAGATATTAATTTTTCATTATTAGTTTCTAAGGTAGAAGAATAAGGTAAAAGATGTTAAATTTTCTGGAGACTTCTGGTTACCAAATATTTCTGAGCTATGAATAGAGATTGGTAGAATATAGTATATTAGAAAATTTATTGGACTGAGGACCTAAGAGAAGAAAAAATAAACATTATAATGATGTTACAATAAGGGGTTTTCTATGCATAGGGGCCTCTGAATCATATCAGGGAATTAGAAGATTATTTGTGTTCTAAGTATTTAAGAGAACGTTGTGAAATGAGGTTATCCCTCTGAAGAAAACTCTCACTCTTTAACTTCCAGGACTGTCCATTCCCTAGTACTGCTGCTCTACTACTACCCATACTTCTACTACCATTTATATCTAATTATGAGTGCCTGTCTTACATTGAACATAGTTCTAGGCACTTAAAACATTAAGGATTGTTGCTGATCATTAAAACAGTAACTCTTATTATTCCCTGGCATGTAACTGGCACTGCTGAAGAGGTAGAAGTGTAGTCAAGGAGGCAGAAATGTAGTTCAGGAGCATAGGGCAAAGAGATTCTGAACCCAGGAAAACAGGGAGAGAAGAAAGTTTAAAATCATGTTTAATCAGAGCCATAGCAATTAATTTCTTTTTTCTAATAGTGACAAAGAAAGTTTGTAGTTTCTGTGCTTGAATGATGACAACACTGCAGAATAAGGAAGGTGAGTCAAGAGTGAGGGCAGTTAATTTTGTACATTTCTCCCATTTTCTCCTTCTGGACAAACTTCCCATCAAAGGGCAGTTCAGTTCACATATATTTTGTGTTCACTCTGTTCAAATTATTACTCTGCTAGATGCTTTGAATGAAATAAATATGACTTAGAAACAGTCCTGCTCAAGGACCGTATAGAGAAATGACTTTTAAATATCTGTTATAAAGTTGAATGTGATAAATGCCACCAGAGATGGGCAAAGCATTATGGAAGCTCAGAAGAAAGATATATTGCTTATACCTGGGAATATCAGGAGGAGGTAGCATAAGAGCTGGGCCTTGAATAATTAATAGATTTTGCTTTTTTAAAAACGTCAGTCCAATTTCTCGTAAAATTGTATTCAAAGTTAAAAGTGAGCAAATTAAAAAGTTTCACATTTGGATAACTCCGCTTCCTGCATGCTTATATTTATCACTTTTGAATTACTCAGTGGTTCTCAAATCTGGCAATGTATTAGAATCAACTAGCCTTGTAAAATTACAAATTTCTGGTCCTTACTTCAAATTACTCCATCAGAATCTGGTCTGGGGAGAGGAGTGGTCAGGGAGAGATCTAAAAATCTGAATTTGTTAAAAGCTCTCTCCATATAATTCTGATATGCCCAGTCAATGGTCAATGGTTGGCAATCTCTGTTAGATTATACGTTTCATAAATTTCCATTTGATGATCAAATTTCTTTCAGAATGTGGAAAGAGACCAAAGAAAATCTTTGCTCCACCTGTACAAAAATTGCATAGCCTGATACTTTGTAGCACTAACTCACCCAAGGAGGAGACCCTGGGGATTAGTTCACCAGAGACAGAGACCAGGCCACACCTGCCAAAGGCTAGGTTAGAGAAGAAGGAAGAGAAAGCAACCACAGAGAATGGTCCAAGCAGTGGCCAGAAGAAAAAAGGAAAGGCTCAAGACAACAAGCAAGTAGAGAAGAAAGCAAAGGTATCAGTCACATTGATGGGCTTTAGTAGGACAGTTCCTCCTACCCTGCCCTCACCTAGGCTAGACAGTCTTTTTGTATTGGGGAGATTCATGCTGTAGTTTCAGTTATTTTTATTCCTTTTTGAGGGCTTTTATTTTCTTCTCAAAGAGTTAAAAAATGTTTTGGTGAAAACATTTAGTGGGAAATATGGGATGAGATGGGATCGAGGTGGGAGTTGAAGTGGACAGAAACTTTATAAGCGTTTTCCTTTTTTTTTTTTTTGACTCCTTTATTCCCAGGAGATCTGGGATAGAGTTTATGGACTCCTTAGGTATGTTGACTTTATGCCTTTAGTTTTGTGGACTTACTGCTTCATCTAAAGGAGGATTCCCTGACTGGTCAGAGGGGAGAACTATGGAAAGATAAGCAGTTTTCCTCCCCTACCCTTGTCTCTGCAGGAAAAATCAAGTATTTCCAATGAGGAATTTGAGGAGATTGTCCAGATTGTGCTGCGGAAGTCCCTCCAGGAGTGCTTGGGTATGGCTTCTAGTGAGATAAAAAGGGTTTCAGTTAGGAAATATGACTGGTTTCTGAGAAGGAGAGTAAGTTTGACAACTTCCCTTTCATCTTCCTAAGAAGGATATGTTAGATGAGACTTCAAAATTTTTTAAAATACTTCATCTTCTTTTAATAGGACCATAGCTAAACCACCTTAGATAAAAGGTACAGAATTTTAGAAAAGTAGATTGATTACATTGACTTCAGAATTTAAATATAATCTCACCTACATTTTAAAAATGTGACTTAAATTCATTTCTATATGCTTACAATCTACTTAGAAAAGATAAATTGTTTTCCACAGATTTGAGGAACTTGGTCTCCCTCTACCCTTGTGTATTTCTGTTTCTAATACTGTTTATGCATATGCTCAGGGATTTAATTTTTAAAATAAAGAATTCTGTAGTATAGGACCTGAGGTCTTTTCAGGTGACCTACATATTCTATAGTATAGGTCATGAGGCTAAGGAGAATAGTCTGACATTTTAACCATTCTTAGGTGTGCTTCTATTCCTAGGGGAAGTTTGAGAAACAAATGATATAAAATGCAGTACATATAATTTTTTTGTACACAAAATAAAATTATCATCACATGGCTATCCTGGAATGAGGTAGATTAACTTGGAAAGGCTTGCAGAAAGATACAGATTTGTAGTTTTTCCTGGAAATTTAAAGATTTAAAGTTCTATGATATGACAAGAGACCAAAGATAGGCTCTTCTGGGCAATAAGGAGAAGACATTTTAATGAAAATATTAGGAAATAATGGAGTGGTTGTTTTCTTTTACTGCTTTTCTGCTTATAATATATTATTTTGGGAGGGATGGGATCTGGCTTTGATTTTGCAGAGACTTCCTGTGCCCAGCCCATAGTATGTACCCAGTCAGACAAGGAGCCAGCCATCACTGCTTCTGCTACTGATAATGATACTGCTGATAGGTAAGTTTATCCCAGTGAGGCAAGTTGAACACAGAGTGGGCTTAACATTGGTAAATGGTGATCTATTTGTCTAGTCATTTATCATATTTCTATATATTTCTCTCAGTTCAGGGAAAAAACCTGTTTGAGTTGGGAAAAATAGGCAAGTAGATGGATAAGATGATCTTGGAGACCCTAGGATTGTTCTGTCTTCCTTTTACTCTTGGGTTCTTTCAAAAGAACGGTACTGCAAATTTCTTCCTTTTAACCTTTTTACTTAAAAAAAATCTCATTTTCAGAGAGAAGGTAATGGTACCTCATACTCCAGAGATTCCAGCCTCTCAGGACAATGATGTTGTCTCTGCAATAAGCACATCTAAGTTAGGCCAGCCAGATCTTGCACCCTCTGGGAAGAAATTCAATAGACTCCCTTTAAGCAAAAGAAAGAAGGAAGCTCGTAAGTATAGTCAGATATACTTTGATGCCTGGCTCAAATACTTGCTCCAGGAAGTTAAGGAATGGGACGAAGGCAGGCTGAGATTTTTCAAGCCAAAGCTTAAAACTAAACTATTAGGTTACGATTTGTCTTCCTTCTTTTGCTGGCCTTTGCTATTTACAAAGATTCTCTTCTTCATCTCCCCACCCCACAGTGTTTTTTGTTTTTTTCTTCCCAGAAGATGAGAAAATGGAGAAAGTCCAAGGTGGACATGAGCATAGACAGAAAGACCAACGGAAGAAAATGGTTCAGGATCATTCTCACATCAGGAACCAGCAAAAAAGAAAGCAAAGTGGTTTTGGTAAGTTTGGCCTTGGTTTAGAAAACCTACTTGGGCTGAAAATTTGAGATGGAGGAAAGAGACAAAGGTTAGGATGTTATAGGAAACTCTGCAAACACTATAGTTTATCTTTCATAGCTGCTTATAGGATATGCTGTTGAGGAAGAGAATGATTTCATTCATTCAGTTATTTAGTCACATAATCCATAGTTGTTGAGTGCCTACTGTGTACCAGGCATCTTAGATGGTGTCCAGGAAGAAAACCAAGATATGGTTAGAAAAGTAGAGTCAAGGCTAGGCGCGGTGGCTCACACCCGTAATCCTAGCACTCTGGTAGGCTGAGGCGGGATGATCACTCAAGGTCAGGAGTTCAAAACCAGCCTGAGCAAGAGCGAGACCCCATCTCTACTAAAAAAATTGAAAGAAATTTATTGGCCAACTAAAAATATATAGAAAAAGATTAGCTGGGCATGATGGTGCATGCCTGTAGTCCCAGCTACTTGGGAGGCTGAGGCAGAAGGATTGCTTGAGCCCAGGTTGAGTTTGAGGTTGCTGTGAGCTAGGTTGAGGCCATGGCACTCTAGCCCAAGCAACAGAGCGAGACTCTGTTTCAAAAAAGAAAAGTAAAGTAGAGTCAAAATGTGGTAGATGTCATCAAAAATTAGGAGAGTGTGATATCACAGATACCAGGGGAGGAGAGAATTTCAAGAAAGGGAGTGCTCAGCCATGTCAAATGCTACCATACAGAAGTCAGAGGATAAAACAATTCTCAAGGATATCACAATTAGGAAGTCATTGGGGCTTGGTTATAGCTACTGTATGGGTTGGTAAGTTGGTTGAAAAGTAAACACTTTTTCAGTTGGTTAAGGTGTAAAAAGCAAGAAAGAGAAAATGGTAGATAAAGGGGAGTGGGTATAGTGTTGAGGGAGGGTTTTTTGTTTTATAACTTTCTTTTTTTTTTTTTTTTTTTTTTTTTTGAGACAGAGTCTCGCTTTGTTGCCCAGGCTAGAGTGAGTGCCGTGGCATCAGCCTAGCTCACAGCAACCTCAAACTCCTGGGCTCAAGCAATCCTACTGCCTCAGTCTCCCAAGTAGCTGGGACTACAGGCATGAGCTACCATGCCCGGCTAATTTTTTTTCTATATATATTAGTTGGCCAATTAATTTCTTTCTATTTATAATAGAAACGGGGTCTCACTCTTGCTCAGGTTGGTTTTGAACTCCTGATCTCAAGCAATCCCCCCACCTTGGCCTCCCAGAGTGCTAGGATTACAGGCATGAGCCACCACGCCAGGCCTATTACTTCTTTCTAAGTTCTTTTTCCCTCCTTGTTTACTCTCTTTTCTTATGTTTAGTGAGTGGGATCTGGTTTATGGAACTATGCTGGTTCTTTTATTAATACTTTCTTAAAGTCTTTGGGTGTTTCCACCCTCTCCCCCCAAACCACCTCCACCCTGCTTTTCATCTAAGTTAAAAAAGAAGAAATTAAAACCTCAAATATTATTCCTAAGTCTAGAGCCCCTAGTCATTTAGTAGGTGTACAGACGAAAGTTGGTTGTATTTTATATAATTATTAACTGTGTATATTTTTCTTTTTTTCTCTCTTTGAACCAGCTTTCAATATTTGTTATTGTGAAACAGAGGAGCAGCAACGTGAGTTATCAGAAAGTCATTTTCCTGGCTTTCCCTTCTCTATTGCTTGATCAGGTTAGACCTTTTTAAAAAAAGTAACATTCTTCATCACACTCTCACTTTATATTATACAGATTATATTACACATCACTGTTATAGATTTACTACATCTTATTAACTCAACAATGATTCACATTTTTATCTAGTTGGTTGGGGCTCCAGAAGCATACTTTGGCCTAGGAAGATCTGTGTAGGTTCAGATAAAGATTTAAACCTAAATATTTGAAAAGTTTACATTTTTAACTTGGTCAAAATAGTCTTGTTTTATTTAAAGAATTTAAAATAAGAAATCATATTTTGAAGTGGTAATATTTGTATGTTTTATTTATTTATTTATTTATTTTGAGACAGAGTCTCGCTTTCTTGCCCAGGCTAGAGTGAGTGCCGTGGCGTCATCCTAGCTCACAGCAACCTCAAACTCCTGGGCTCAAGCGATCCTCCTGCCTCAGCCTCCCGAGTAGCTGGGACTACAGGCATGTGCCACCATGCCCGGCTAATTTTTTCTATATATATCAGTTGGCCAATTAATTTCTTTCTATTTATAGTGGGGTCTCGCTCTTGCTCAGGCTGGTTTTGAACTCCTGACCTTGAGCAATCCGCCTGCCTCGGCCTCCCAAGAGCTAGGATTACAGGCGTGAGCCACCGCGCCCGGCCTATAACTTTCTTTTAAAAGAGAGAGACTTGACCATACTTATATGCTAAAGGAAAATTATTTTTAGAGAGGGAGAGATTGAGGTGGGAATGAGAAGTGATTCAGAGGATTTATTCTTCATCATAGCTGTGCCTGTAATCCCAGCTACTCTGAAGGCTGAGGAGGAAGTTCATTTGAGGCCAGGAGTTGACCAGGCCAAGACCAGCCTGGTCAACATAGTGAGACCCTATCTCTAGAACAAAACAAAACAGAATTAAAACAAATATATCATATGAAATAACCAAGGTGATGATAGGAAATTTTAGACAAGAAGTAAAATAAACCAAACAATATATTAGTATGTTCAAAAATTTAAAAATGGACAACAATCTGGGGAGAAACAGATTTGTGCCAAGAAACAAAAAAATAATACAAAAAAACTAGAACCCAAAGTATTAGGAACAGTGGAATAAAAAGTCAGGTGGTATCCTAATATGTGTATATGTTTGTAGTTTGGGTTGTAGGAGCGTAATATGATTTGCACATACTTGGAAAAAAACACTAGAAAGACTATGCAGGTACCAAACAAGGTAGTCCAGGTCAAACCATTTCTCTTGTTGTAATGACATGGTAACATAAAGAGCTAGAAGAATAAATCTGCTTTGGACAATCAGGTGGTCTGGAGCACAGATCACCCCAAGGGAGTTTTTAGATAGAGTCAAAAAGAGAATTAAAAGATTTTTTCTTTTGGTTTTATGTGAATGTATAAACTCAGATGTGCCCGTAGAGAATTTGGGGGATAGTGCAGGCCTCACTGACCTGATCTTCAGTTACCTCAAATAAATTGGTGCCATTAGATTTGTGTTGCTGCATCTCCTATGCCTCTCAGTAAGTATTACTGCGAGGACTGGATTTTAGATTGGCAGATGGGGCTTCACTCCCTAGGTGGTGCTTGTGAGTTAAATTGTGATTACAGTGGATTTATCAGTTTCCTACTGTCAATGAATCATTCTTCCTGCTTCTCATAGTTGCCAAGGAGAGGGGAGTCCTCCTGGAGTAGGAGGAATATCCAATAAATACAATTTGTGTAGAAAGAGGAATATCCAATAAATACAATTTGTGTTAAGTACAGTGAAGGAAAAGAACAGGGTGTCATGAGAGGAAATAATGGAGACCTAAGTAAGATTGAACCAGTCATGGGATGCATTTCTAAGGAAACAGTATTTAAGCTGAAATCTGAAGGAAGAATAGAAGTTATCAAAGTGAAGAGTAGGTAGGGTAAAGTTTACCATATTTCAGGTACTATAGGAAAGCCAGTGTGATTGGAGTTCAAGAGAGCAAGGGGAGGCAAGATGCAAAAGTGGCTCTGGGTGAGTGGAAAGAGGTAGGCAGTGGCTAGAACAAACACCATACTACAGAGTTAGAATTTTATGCTAAGTGCAGTGGGAAGCCATTGGTGCATTTTAACCAGGGGAGTAACATCCTCAAATTAATGTTTTGAAAGGATCCTTTGGTGATTAATTGGATAATGGAGTATGGGGAGAAAACAAGAGTAGATCAGTTAAGAAGTTATTGCTGCTGGGCGCGGTGGCTCACACCTGTAATCCTAGCACTCTTGGGAGGCCAGGCCGGTGGATTGCTCGAGGTCAGGAGTTCGAAATCAGCCTGAGCAAGAGCGAGACCCCATCTCTACTATAAATAGAAAGAAATTAATTGGCCAACTAATATATATAGAAAAAATTAGCTGGGCATTGGTGGCGCATGCCTGTAGTCTCAGCTACTCGGGAGGCTGAGGCAGTAGGATGGCTTGAGCCCAGGAGTTTGAGGTTTCTGTGAGCTAGGCTGACGCCATGGCACTCACTCTAGCCTGGGCAACAAAGCGAGACTCTGTCTCAAAAAAGAAAAAAAAAAAAGAAGTTATTGCTAAGATTAGGTATTTTGGTGGCTTGGATTAGGATGATGAAGGTGGAGAAAGAGAAGGGATGTTTTATGGTATGTTTTGGAGGTATAATTGTCAGAACTTGGCAATGAATTGCATATTGAAAGGTGAGAGGGGAGAAAGTATGTCAAAGATGATTGGTTTCTAGCTTTAGCAGTTATATGAAAGGAAGTGGGAAAGAGTGGAAGAAGAACAAAGTTGTGGGATAAGATCAAGCATTCAGGTGTGGGTACCTTAGGTTTGAGATCCTGGTGAGACATCCAAATAGAAATGTCAAAGAGGAAGGTGGCTGTAGGAATCTGGAGCTCAGAAAAGAGGCAGCTGTGAGTATGCAACTGTGTACTGTCAGGTATGAAAAAGGATTTCAAAGCTATGGGAATGGGTGAGCTTGCCCCAGGATAAAGTATATCATGGAAAGAGAAGGCCCATGATTGGGCTTTGGAACCCCAGCATTTAGAGATTGGTTGGAGAATGAGGAGAACCCAGCAAAGGAGAAGGGAGCTTCCAGAAAGATGGGGGGAGGGTCAGGAGAATGTGGTAACACAGAACCCAGGAACCTGGTGTTTCAAGAATGTGTGGTCATCTGAAATGCTCTTAAAGTGTGTCTGTGAGTCTTCCTTATCATAGAACCACATTGTGAGCATCAAACATAGTTTTCTAGAACACATTATCTTCTCCTCTAAGTTGTTTGAAAGGAAACCTTAAAATCTGTATAATCCTGTCATTGGAAAATTCAATCCCAAGCCATAAATACCCAGTTCCATGTCATGGGGCAATTTTTTCCCACTCATTTTCTTATGAATGTTCATTATTTTCATAGCCAACTATTTGTTTTATTGATATGTGTTAAGTTTGTTTTTTGAGACAGAGTCTCACTTTGTTGCCCAGGCTAGAGTGAGTGCCGTGGCGTCAGCCTATCTCACAGCAACCTCAAACTCCTGGGCTCAAGCAATCCTACTGCTTCAGCCTCCCTAGTAGCTGGGACTACAGGCATGCACCACCAATGCCCAGCTAATTTTTTCTATATATATTAGTTGGCCAATTAGTTTCTTTCTATTTATAGTAGAGACAGGGTCTCACTCTTACTCAGGCTGGTTTCGAACTCCTAACCTCGAGCAATCCGCCCGCCTTAGCCTCCCAGAGTGCTAGGATTACAGGCGTGAGCCACCGCACCCAGCCATGATATGTGTTAACTTTTATGATTCCTGGCCTCTCTCCTTACTATTTTTTTCTAGTCTTACTAGGTCATCTCTATAAACACCATAAACATCCAAAGCTATCATTGGCAACTGTCGTTTCAGGCTAATATATCATTCTCAACCAGTAATTTATCCTTCAAGATAAAGTAATTGCGAAAGTGATCCATTTTGTGTGATATTTGGAAGGGACCCAAATGTAAGTTAACTTCTTTTCTGAGGGATGATTTCAGCAGGATGGGGTTGGGGGGCCATCCCTCATGTTTAGGCATTTAAGGTAAAATTTGACAGTGAAAGAGTGAACTTACTAGAGAAACATGTTGGTTGATAATGTCAATAGTGAATATATATAATATATTATAATATATATGCACCTGTGAAGTGATTTTTCTCTAATGTCTCAGTTGCACGCGTATAGACACGGAAAAGGCAGAGAGTGGGTAGAGAGTGTTTTGCCACAAGGGTGGGAGGAAGGACAGTGGGAAAAGGAGTTTAAGATGTATACAGGAGAATCCAAGGAAGTGTCAAGCAATCAAACCTGAGTAGTATAGAGTGAAGAATGGAAGTTGCTACCAGATTTAAAGGACAGTAGAGGTCAGTGGATTGCAGAGCTAGATGAAATGAAAGTGAAATGAAAGTTGTTGTAGGGGTCTTTTTTTTTTTTTTTTTTTTTTTTTTTTTTTTTTTTGAGGCAGGGTCTCACTCTGTTGCCTGGGCAAGAGTGTCGGGGCATCAGTCTAGGTCACAGCAACCTCAAACTTCTGGGCTCAAGTGATTCTCCTGCCTTAGATTCCTGAGTAGCTGGGACTACAGGTGTGCACCACCACACCCAGCTAATTTTTCTATTTTTAGTAGAGACGGAGTCTCGCTCTTGTTCAGGCTTGTCTTGAACTCCTAACCTCAAGCAATCCTCCCGTTTTGGCCTTCCAGAGTGCTAGGATTACAGGCATGAGCCACTGTGTCCAGCCTGTTGTAGGGGTCTTTAAGCAAGTAAGGTGGAAGGATGGGGCATTTCTGTCAAAGAGGAAGTTTGGATAAGTGGTTCAGAGGGTACACCTGTGAATGACTGGGGGTGGGCATGTAGGAGTGGGTTACTGAAGTGTCATGGAGGAAAAGATCAAGGACTGAGATAATAGGGTGCTTTGTGAGGTATTCCTGTGGATATGGAGGTTGTGAGTCTATCAGAGAGAAATGATAGACTTAGACCTGTGTCTTTTGGAAGAGAGTGAACTCAGGACTATTGGTCCCAAACTTGGTGATTTGATGACAGGAAAATTAGTTGAGATTTTGGTAAGAACTCTGGATGTTGTGCACAAAAATGATGCTGATAAGGTCTTCAAAAGAACTTTTCAGTAGGCTGGGCACAATGGCTCACGCCTGTAATCCTAACACTCTGGGAGGCGGAGGTGGGAGGATCATTCAAGGTCAGGAGTTTGAAACCAGCCTGAGCAAGAGCAAGACTCTGTCTCTACTAAAAAAAGTAGAAAGAAATTAATTGGCCAACTAAAAATATATAGAAAAAATTAGCTGGGTTTGGTGGTGCCTGCCTGTAGTCCCAGCTACTTGGGAGGCTGAGGCAGAAGGATTGCTTGAGCCCAGGAGTTTAAGGTTGCTGTGAGCTAGGCTGATGCCATGGCACTCTAGCCCGGGCAACAAAGTGAGACTCTGTCTCAAAAAAAAGAAAAAAAAGAACTTTTCAGTAGTGTCATGCCAGCAGAGAATGAGGCACACTATCTGGAAAGATGCCAGGCAACCTTTTTATTCATGAATTATCAACACAGGAAATACTCCTTTCTGACTTGGGGTGGGGAGAGATGATGAGACCAAGATGTGAGACTTGAGTTCTAATTTCAGCTCTGTCACCAAGTTAGACTTATCTTCTGCAAGTCAATTACCTTCCCTGAGCCCTGGTTTTCCCATTTATAAGTCAGAGATTGAGCTAGTTGATCTCTAAGGTCTCTATGGCTATGTGATTGTGGGAGTTGGGAGGGTTATATTGAGTTTAGTTGGATTTAAGAAGGAAGAGCATATTTTTGAGTCTCTTATTTCATTTTTTTCTTCTCACAGGGCAATGTCTGATCTGGGTCCAGTGTTCCTCCCCAAACTGTGAGAAATGGAGGAGGCTGCGTGGGAACATTGACCCCGCAGTTCTCCCAGATAATTGGTCCTGTGATCAGAATACAGGTAGAAAAGAGTGGAAATGTTTTTTTCCGGTTTTATTTTCCTCCCTTTCTTTCCCTGCACATATCCTTTAGATTAAATATGACATGAGTAATTAGCAAAAGGCCAGGCATAATGGCTTATGCCTATAATCAGCACTTTGTGAGGCTGAAGTGGGAGGATTGCTTGACGTCTGTCAGGAGTTCAAGACCAGTCTGAGCAAGAGCGAGACCCCATCCCTACGTAAAGAAGAACAATTAGCCAGGCTTGGTGCTGTGCGCCTGTAGTCCCAGCTACTTGGGAGGCTGAGGCAGGCAGGATCACTGGAGCCCAGGAGTTTGAGGTTGCAGTGAGCTATGATGATGCCATTGTACTCTAGCCTGGGCAACATAATGAGATCCTGTCTCAAAAGGAAAAAAAAGAGAGTAGTTAGCACTTAAAGGGTCCTTGTAGTGCTTAGGGGGAGAGGATCTTCCCCCTAAGGATCTTCCTGTCATATGGAGATGAATCTGGGTGTAAAGGGCTGGAGGAAGACACCTTGAAGAGTTATGTCATGGGATAGGCCTGGCATCTAAATGCATGTACTGAGTGAATTACATTTTCCTTAGCATTGGTCTGCCCTGTCAATCCTGATTAGAATATTATTATTAGGTTGGTGGATAGGGAGCGATATGGGATATATGGGGAAAAGCAGGTGAGAATTCAGTGAGCTTAGAATTCTAGAATGTTTGAAACTCCCTGGAAGAAATTATGACCATCTAGTCCAGTCCAATTATTTTACAGATGAGGAAACGGAGTCTCAGAGAAATTACCCTCATGATGTTCCACAGATGGAAACAGAGTCAGACACAGAGGAATGTAAACAGGAGTATGAAATCTTTTTCTATAGAGTATAAGGAGGCAGCATTCCTCCTTCTCCTGCTCTAGCTGCATTTCCTCCATGGGTCTTTATTCTTCTTCCTCCATGCCTGTCCTCCAGATGCCCTTTTGGTCCCACCTGCCACATATACCAGTTCCTTCTTGTTCTCTCCCTAGCTCTCATTTAGATTTTTCACCTGTGGGTCTCTTCATATCCCTTCATTCCTTCTCTGTTTTGGCAGACTTGGAGTATAATAGCTGTGATATTCCTGAGGAGACCTGGACAGGACATGAGAGTGATATAGCCTATGCCTCCTACATCCCAGGATCCATCATCTGGGCCAAGCAATATGGTTATCCCTGGTAGGGCACCATGGCATAGAGCATCCTTCATGAACTTGGGAGTGGTATATTCAAGCCTAGAGGGAAGGAAATGGAAAACATTTATAATGGAACTGGTACTTGCCTTAGGAAGACCATGGGGTGAGGGAGAAGATAAAGTACCAACACTGGAGGCTTTGAATGAGCATGTTTTCTGGAGGTTTCTGGGTAGAGGTAGTAACTCCCTGGAAATAAGGGTCTGCTACCCTGAATGGTAGAAAGAGGATGGTGGATCTAAGGCATTTAAATACTGAGATGTGAGAGACACAGGAAGTAAAAAGAACAAGAAAAGGTAGGATAGTTTCTTCTTTGGAGATGTCCCTAATCAGAAGATTTTGTTCATAGTGTTTTAGAAAGGCCCAGAAGGCTAAAATACCTTTACTAGGAATATTCTGAGCTTCTTTGTACATTTATAGAAGTCACTTCAGTCATTTGGTAGTGACCACTGGAGGGGACTGACTGGGGTGGGGGAATCTAGAACATGCTGCCCTTTTTTGTAATTTATGAGGCTGTAGTCTTTTCTTCTAACCCCTTCTCTTCTGCCTCCTGTACTCATCTATTTTCTCAAGGTGGCCAGGCATGGTAGAATCTGATCCTGACCTGGGGGAATATTTTCTTTTTGCTTCCCATCTTGATTCCCTGCCGGTGAGTTTCCTGTTTCAGGGTAAGTAGGAGCTCAGGCCAAAGTAATGAACAAATCCATCCTAACAGATGTACAGAGTTAGAAACATAGACATAGCCAGCGACATGAGTGAAAGCAGACACTTAACTAGGAAGACAAACACAGAGATAAGTACCCAATCTAGAAACAAACTTATATCTAATTATTTATGCACTGTCAGGCACACAAATGCCCTGACATATAAATATGGTTTGGCTAGGATTCCTGAGGTCAAAATGGAAGGAAGGTTGAAATAAGTAGGGTAGGTGAGTCAAGCTTCAGGGAGCATATGAGGCCCAGCACCTCCTTGATGAATCCCTGTTCTCCCTGTGCCTGTTCTGGCTAGAGGAGAAAAGCAGGAGGACAGGAGGCTATAACAGGACCATCTTTTATTTCAGTCTAAGTACCATGTGACATTTTTTGGAGAAACAGTTTCTCGTGCTTGGATCCCAGTCAACATGTTAAAGAACTTCCAGGAGCTGTCCCTGGAGCTAGCTGGAGTGGTAAGCAAATTTGGGGGTCTGTTTTGATATTGGAACTGGAAAACAAAATCTTCCTTTTATTAAACTTGATTTTCTCCCAGGGGAAGATGTGTTGGGAAAAAGTTCTGTGTCTGACCAGGTGTGCCAAGGACAAGGTTATTCATGAGGAAGTCTTCTTTCTACCAGGACTGCAGCAGGGCAATTTATTTTTTCAGTCTTCTTCCCTCCCTATAGATTGGGGGCCTTCCTGAAGACTGGATTTTCTACAGTTTAGCTAAAGCAGGTGTGGCAGTAATGAGGGAACAGATTAACTCAGGATTTTTTAGTCTCAGCAATATTGACATTTTGGGCCAGATAATTTTGTGTTGTGGAGGGCTGTCCTGTGCATCATAGGATGTTTAGCAGCATCCCTGGGCTCTACTGGCATCTAATGAGTAGTAGCCTTTATTCCCATCCTGTGCCTCCTGCCCCTAGTTGTGACAACTACAAAAGTGTCTCCATATATTGCCAGATGTCTTCTAGGGGACAAATCTCCCTCTGTTGATAACCACTGGATTAGCTAGCTAAATCGTATTTCCTCCCCTTAGTCCCTTTGGGTTTGATCAGCTTTACAAATGAGCAGAGGCCCTGCAGCTCAGGCACCTTAGAAACTCAAGCAGTGAGTATTAAATTAAGCAGCACGATGGATGTAAAGAAACTTGTCAAAAGCTTAAAAGTGGAATCACCTGAACTCCTTTACTCTTCTCTTTTCAAAGTTCCATGGGATTCACTTTGGAGAGGTCACCAACATTTTGGTTGAAAATATTGCTAGGAATTGGTGAGAAGTTTATTAGGTAGAAAAAGGATATTATGTCTGGGGCCAAAAGATTACAGAGTATATCATATCAATACTAGGAACTTGAAATAAATGTTATAAATAAAGATAATGTCTGGTGGGTAACAGTATGTTGGTGTTACTTCTCTAATATTTATTATTGATTCTAATCCCTTTTAATCTAAATATTTTAACATTATATATTAATTGTTTTATTGGTTTTTTTTTTTTTTTTTTTTTTTTTTGAGACAGAGTCTCACTTTGTTGTCCAGGCTAGAGTGAGTGCCGTGGCGTCAGCCTAGCTCACAGCAACCTCAAACTCCTGGGCTCGAGTGATCCTTCTGCCTCAGCCTCCCGAGTAGCTGGGACTACAGGCATGCGCCACCATGCCCGGCTAATTTTTTATATATATATCAGTTGGCCAATTAATTTCTTTCTATTTATAGTAGAGACGGGGTCTCGCTCTTGCTCAGGCTGGTTTTGAACTCCTGACCTTGAGCAATCCGCCCGCCTCGGGAGGGTGAGCCACAGCGCCCGGCCTGTTTTATTGTTTTTTAAACAAGCCTATATAGCACCCAGTATTGCCCAGATAGTCTCCCATCCAAGTACTAACCAAGCCTGACCCTGCTTAGCTTCTGATATCAGATAAGGTCAGGCACATTTAAGGTGGTATGGCTATAGATGACTCTGATCTTTAAGACAGTATTTATCATTGATTCTAATCTTCTTCCATTTCAGAAAAAATGCAGGAACAAAGACTGCAGCCAGAAACTGGGGGCGGCCCTAATTATGGCTCAAGAGGCAGAACAGATCAGCATTCAGGTAGGAGAGTGTTCAGACTGCATACTTGCTTCTCTTCAGGACTTGGACACAAAGCAAACCATATACTCTCCCACTATAGAAAACCAGTTGTCTTTCCCCATTACACAGCCTTTTTCTTAGACTTACTTTTTTTCTTCCCAGGCCAGATTTCTCTGACTCCTTAAATCATTTATTCCTTTTCCTACCCTTGGCAGTCCAGACAGATACAGTTTGTGGCGGGGGGCATCCTCCCTGCCTATTTAATAACTTCAAGTCTCAAATACATGTGCCTTAACCTCTCTTTTGTGTACAGTCAGTTTTTACCCTCAAATTCTGCTGGTGGGGGTGAGGGTGGGATGGAGAATGACAAACAGTGAATTTCCCCTTTCCAATTATTTGTTGAATTATAAACAAACTAGAAAAAGAGATTATAATTAATCTCTATAAAAGTCTGGATAAGCCTAATGTAAAATTTTGAGTGAAAATGGTATGGAAGGCTGGGCGCAGTGGCTCACGCCTGTAATCCTAACACTTTGGGAGGCCGAGACAGGCAGATTGCTCAAGGTCAGGAGTTCGAAACCAGCCTGAGCAAGAGCGAGACCCCATCTCTACTATAAATAGAAAGAAATTAATTGGCCAACTAATATATATAGAAAAAATTAGCCAGGCATGGTGGTGCATGCCTGTAGTCCCAGCTACTCGGGAGGCTGAGGCAGTAGGATGGCTTGAGCCCAGGAGTTTGAGGTTGCTGTGAGCTAGGCTGACGCCACGACACTCACTCTAGCCTGGGCAACAAAGTGAGACTGTCTCAAAAAAAAAAAAAAAAAGAAAATGTTATGGAAAATGAATACAAATTTCTTTATAACTAAACTCTAGAAGACAGAGGGTAGTGGATGATGCTTTTGTTTCTTGGTTCTCTCAGGAGCGGGTTAACTTGTTTGGTTTCCGGAGCCGATACAACGGGTCTGACAGTAGTGGGGAAGGAAAAGGTAGGATAAGTGGAGGGCGAGGACTAGAGAAGGAGGGGAGAGATTCTTTCATGAGACCAGTAGCCCAAACCTTTCTTTTTTTAATATTCTATGTCATCAGGCTAGTTCTGGATTCTATAATAGGAGGCCGTCAGCATGTCATTGACCCAGTGTCCAGGATGGGTGGACAGATGGGTGGAGAGAGGAATGAGGGGAAAAGGAGTGGAAGGGAGGGTGTATATTGAATAGTGATGGACTTTGAAAAGGGTGGAACCATGGTAATCTGGGATTACATTTTACGGAGAAAATACCACTTGGACACAGAAGGCAGAGTTAGAAGACAGATTATCTGGGATCAGCTCCATTAACTCATCAATTATTTTATTGGATGAATTACTTAGCCTTTCCTTCCTTTTCCTGTTCTAGACTTAATGCTTTCTGGAACTAATAGCCCAGATTCCTGCTTGGAGAAAGAAGAGGAGGAGGAAGAGTCAGAGGTAGAAGAAGAGGAAGAGGAAGAGAAAAAAGTAAGATTAGCCTTAAATACTGGTTTAGATAAGGATCTTTGGGCTTCCTTTTAGGAGATTCCTGTAGAAGTCTAGTTAACATGGATTTACATTTACTAAGGGACCATTCTGTCTCTGCCTCAGGGTAGCCCTGACTGGCTGGTCTTTTCTCTTAAGGGTCTCCAGGAAAGAAGGCTCTCTTCTTTCTTCTTTATTCTAATTTCTCACATCCTAGGAACTTCTTTCTTGATTATAATCTCAGTTCCTACTGTATTTCTTTGGTTCTTCCTGAAGCAATTTCAGGGTATATCAGGTTACTTCTTTCCACTCCTTTATCCCCTATACAAATACTTAGGATATTCATTCACTTATTTTCTTAGCATCTCCTTTCCAGGTATATGGAATACATAGTTTTCACTTTCTGTTTTAATTTTCAATTTACCAATTTTTATCATATTGGTGGCCTGATTTCCTTCTTTTATGCCTAAAGCTTTGCATTGACGAACACCAAACAGAATGGGAAGGTGACCACACATTTTTATCTGTTACCATAGGTTTGAACAATATCAGGCTCCTGAACCTAATTTGACTCCCCAAAGCTCACCTATCATACTGTAGAATCCCTCTCTATTAAAAATGGATATGTGACTTAATTTATCTTTTTCTTATTTTTCTAACTTATCCTCAGGACCCAACTTTGTCTGGTCCCAAGTCAATCAAAACACAGACAAAAAAACCCAAGCCAAGAGGTAAGCAAGCCAGCTGGACATGGTACACCTCTCACAGTTAAGGCAGAGAAGTGGTAGAGTATAAGGCATCTATGAGTAACCAGACCTTACTGATCATCTTAGCTCCAGGATCTGAGAAAACCAGCAAGACTTACTGATAGTGTCTGTGGGAAGCTAGAGCCTCCTCACTTCTGTGTACTAAATTGTAAAATCTTAGCTTAAAGATGGAAGGTTTTAAGTTCTTAGCTAAGAAGGATAACTTCCTGGAGAAGGCAGACTCTGAGGAGAACTGTAAAGAGAAAGAAATCCAGGGGGTAAGAGAAAGATGATTAGAGAAGTGGAGTCGACTAAACAACTCACTAAATCAAGTAGAAGATGTGGGGCAGGGTATGGCAGAGACTAAGTGTGGAGAGGCCATCTTCCCTTGCTGAGCTGTCATTTAGAGAGAAATAAACATATATCTTTCATGGTTGGGGGTGGGGGTGATGCAGGCATGGCAAATGGACAAGGTGGGACCTTGAAACGGAAGACAGTGAAGAGATCTCTGGGCAGTGAATCCACAGCTCCTCCTGCATCCATCACAGGAAAGAAAGAAGGCCACGGGAATTCAGATTCTGACAAGCTAGGTAAGGCTCAAGGCCTGGGAAGAACTGTGGGGAACGAGGTCTAGGTCTTCATCCTCCTCTTGCTGGATCATTTCTTAACAATTCTACAGCTTTACATAACTTTAAGGAATGAATTAAAATTAGAACAAAAGAGTACCTCTAGGATTGTACCCACCACACGCTACACAAACATAATGGTTATTGATGGGATTTGATCCAGGGACAGGGGAATGATAGGGAGAAGGGAACTACCCTTAGTTGAGGATTGCTGTGGGCTGGCTAGATAGATACTTCCATGCTTGTTCCTTTTCCTTCTTTCAACAGCTCTAGGACTGGATATTTAACATTGTAAAGATAAGGAAACTGAGGCTCAAGGGTTTAAATGTGCTCAAGACCCATATGGAGCTCACAGCTGACCCATGGCTTGAAGCCAAGTCTTTCTGAGTCCAAAGCCCAGAATCTTTGTACTGTGAAAGGTCATCTTTTCCAGAGATTTATTGGAAATAGGAATTTAGGAGTTCAATTTGTGAAAGGTGAGGACAGACTGACCTAATAGGACTCTCGACTTTGTCATCTTTTCATTTAGGCCCTAAGAAAAAATTTAAAACTCCTGAAATCAAGGCCTCAGCAACCAGCTTATCTGAGGAAATAGAAAGCAGAATGGTGCCACAGGGCCTGAGCCCCCCAGCTCGTGCCAGGGCCTGTGCCTCAGCCAGGAAGGAAGGGCCTAGATTCCAGGAATCACTGACTCAGGAGGTTGGAAGTGTCCCCCACGAAGATGAAGCCTCCAGTGACCTGGACCTGGAGCTACTCATGGAAGATATTGGAAAAGAGCCAGAGCAGAGAGGAGAGCCACAGCACAGAGACGACGAAGAGGAGTTCACTGTGGCCTTCTTTGAGGAATAGTTGTGTGCTCTCACCCTCCTTCCTGTTCTCCTGTCCCTGGAGCACGGAGCGGAGAGCCTCGCAGTGGGTCCCTGAGAAGTTGCTAAGTGTTGGGGTTGTTAATTGACTCCCAGGTTCAAGTCAGAGTTGTGTAGTTTATGTTAATAAAGCAGGTCACCAGTTTGTTGGTTCAATTGGTCTCTAACCATGTGCTTCTTTTTGGTGTCTTTCCCCTCTCCTGGGTGTCACTGTGATGGCATGTCATTGTTTGTGTTGGGAGGTGCTCACAACATAGGAATCTGGGGAAAGCCATGAGATCTGAGTCCTGAGAGAGCATCCAGAAGGAGAGATCTGGGTTCAAATCCTGGCTTAGCTGCATACTAGTACCCATAGGTTGTTGGGAAAAGCATGTTAACCATCTGGTTCTGGTTTTCATCCTCAGATGAAGTTATGGGGTTGATGGTAATGTTAAATCAGGTGATGCCTATAAAGCACTAAATGCAATACAGGCTAGTTATTATCCTAAGGGAAGAGTATGATTGGATTTAAGGGGCAGAAGTTGTGTTCTGGGCTGGCTACCAGCATTTTGGGATTTATTTTTTCCTGGCCTGAGGCAGTCACTGAACAAAGTTCTAGAGGAGGGATCTTAGGTGTGAGTTATCTAGTAGAGTTCATTTTTGGGTGGGAGAAACAGAAGTTGAAGGTGACATCAGTTTTCTCCTTAGATATATTCAGGGGTATTTTCATTTTGGGCTAAGACCTAAGATGGTGAAGAGGAAATTGGATACATGACTCTGTGACTCCCCCCAGTGCCATAGGAGCTTTCAACATCTGCTGACCCCTGAGTCATTTGCATCTGGCCTTGGTTACTGTTGGAAGCTGTGATCTTCCTATTGGAAGTGTAGCTTACTCTAAGGCCATGATTCAGTCTCTTTTTCTTTCTTTCACTTTTTCTCTGAACTTTAATGAATAAAAATTAAAAAAAAAATTATTTGCAAGACAATCTTCCTAAAATTTTTATTTTATTATTTTTTCTTTGTTTTAATTAGAGATGGGGTGTCTCTATGTTGCCCAAGCTGGCCTTGAACTTCCAGCCTCAAGCACTCCTGCCTCAGCCTCCTGCATAGCTGAGACTATAAGCATGAGCTACCATGCCTGGCCTCATCATTTGGTTTTGAGAGGACCATCCCATTGGTTAGGCCTTTAAGACAGAGTACAGAGTCTCTTCCTGGGGGCCACTGTGGTCAGGCTGGCTGGGTGGTGCTCCTGGTGAGGTGGAGCTGGAGAGGGCAAGGGAGGCATAGACGATATCATCCTGGGCAGGAATGAAAGAGAAGGGGATTAGAAAGTGGAGGTGGAGCTGTGCCCGTCATAGCAAGAAGCTACAACCTGAGGGCCCTGCCCATACCACAGTCCTTCTCCTTCCACCCACCTTCTCCAGGCTTCTCTTTATTCCTTCAGGCCCTAGTCTGACTGCTTACCTTGGGGTTCAGCTTGGGCGCTCCATATTGCCCTAGGAAAAAAAATCAAGGCATGCTGAGGTCAGGTGTTATGACAGCCAGGGCAGAGAGATGGGCAGGGCCTCCAGGAGTGAGGTTATCTGCCAGGTCAGGGCCAGGGTCATTTTGGGGGGATGGGGGAGGAATGGGAGGGAGGAAAATACTGGCACATGCTCAGGGAAGGGGTGTTTGGGGAAACAGGAAAGGAAGCGTGGGAGGTGGGAATGATGGTGGTAAGGACTTACGTTTACTCCCCATATTCTCATATTTCTCCTCCGTGTTTTGGAAGGATTCCCTGTAGGGGAACAAGAGGATGGGAACTATATTAGCGCTGGGCAGTAGAGAGTGAAAGCATGTGTCAGGGGCTGGTTCTCTTTGAGGGGTGCTCAGCAACCTGCCCTGACAAGCTCAGGAGGAATGTGAGGGTTCCAGACTGCCAGAAGAGGTTGCCTAGAAGAGGAATGAGAGGCAATTTGTGGTGTGGCCCAGCAGAGGTCCCTGAGGGCTGACTGAAGGTGGATTATTCTGGGGAGGCTGCTTGTATTGGACAGGAACAGAGCAGAGAAATAGGAAGGATTAGCCCCTGTTCTCTCTCTCCCCCACTGCCTTGGCTAAAACTGGGAGAAGAAACCCAATTGAGTGAGTTTCAGAGCCTCAGGGCAGGTGCTCAGGCCTGGTGCCTGGAAGGAGAAGGTGTCTTGGGAGGGCCAGGAGGAAGGACAGCTGGCAAAAGCTGGGCAGGGAGGGGGCAGGGAGTGAGGCTTCCTTCCAGCAGGGGAAGCATGGCAGGTGCAAGCCAGGGTCTGAGGAAAGGAGGTTGGAGAGGAAGAGAGGGATAAGGGGAAGTGAGGGGGGCCTGGAGAGGAGAGAGGCAGAGGCTGGGACTTTGCTTCTGCACAAGGAAGGCCAGAGGGGAGGTGGAGGCAGAGGGAGCCTGTGGCCCCTGGTGCATTCACAACAGGGGACAAGGACAGAGTGAAGAGAGAAGTGGAGGAAGGGTGGAAAACTGGTGTGTGTGTGAAGGAGGTTCTCCGGGCTGAGAGGGAGCAGACGCAGGGCAGGAAAAGCTTCGGAACACGATGAAAGAAGGGAAGAGGACATGGGAGAAAGATTCCAGTGAGACTTCTGGGAAAGAGAAGCTCTGAAGGTTCATGCTGGAACCCGGAGTCCAGTGTTCTCGTTTTATGGGGCTGGAGTCTGAGGAGGTGGAGAGCCTGGCCGGTAAGAGACCCAAGGAGGACGCAGGGGGGTAAGTCCAGGATGTGAGAGTGGCTGTGGCAGGCTGGGCTTGAGCAGTTCTTAGAAGGACACTCCCTGTTTCCCAAACCAGCCCCTCACTGTCAACTCCTACCCTGTATGACCCCTTCAGGAGGACAAACACTCACCTGGCTGGGGTTGTGGCTTTAGTGTGCTGACCTGCAGAAAGACCAACAGCATGTCAGTGTGACAGCCACAGCGATGGCATTTCTCCATCCTACCTTCTCTGCTGCACCCTAAGCTGAGACATCCTTAGAGGGACCAGACCGGCTAAGCTCTGCCCAAACACACGCAGGGAAGGGCCTGGGACTCGGCAGGCACGCTGAGGCCCCCACAGCTGTCCTCCCTATTGTCCCCAACAGCAAATCCAGAGATGGCCCCTCATCCAGCCCCTCGGCCCCTTTGCTTCCTTCCCCCTGCCTTGAACTCCCTGCCCCTCCCCCAACCTGGCTCCCTCCACTGTGGAGCCCTCACCCACCCCTCCCCTCCTCTTGGCACATCACACACCCACGTCCTCTCAGCAACAGCCTCTTGTGCTTTCCTTCTGAGTGGTGGCTCTTCCTGCTCTGGGAGCTTGTCATCCTCATGGTTGGAATCATGTTTGCAGCCGTTCCCACTGCTGGGCCATTTCTCCTCCTCCACTGACACCTCTGCTGTGTGTCCCATGCCCTCTGCCCCTCCACGTCCACCTTGAATCCCCCCTGGTTGCCAGACATCCTCTCCACCACCCAGCATCGTCCTGGGAGGTCTCAGCATCCACAGGGACCTGTGAACACAGGACTGGCTTCTCCCTCTCCACTCCAGGGACCTCCACTTGTACTCCACTCACCCAACCCTGGGCTGCTTTTTTAAATGTTGGGAGTGGGAACTCGGAAATATTAAATGCTGGTATCATTTTCATGCTGCAACGTTATTCCTTCCAGCTCACACACTCTTCCCCTCTTTCTCCAGTCTTGAAACCTAAACAGGTTTTATTTGTTTATTTAATTGTGGTAAAACGGATCGTGCGTGGTGGCTCACAGTTGTAATCCTAGCACTCCTGGAGGCCGTGGCGGGCGGATTGCTCGAGGTCAGGAGTTTGAAACCAGCCTGAGCAAGAGTGAGATCCCCGTCTCTACTATAAATAGAAAGAAATTAATTGGCCAACTTATATATATAGAAAAAATTAGCCGAGCATGGTGGCACATGCCTGTAGTCCCAGCTATTTGGGAGGCTGAGGCAGCAGGATTGCTTGAGCCCAGGAGTTTGAGGTTGCTGTGAGCTAGGCTGACACCATGGCACTCTAGCCATGAGACTAGAGTGAGACTCTATCTCAAAAAAAAAAAAATTTGTGGTAAAACAACACCTGGAATGTACCATTTTTTCCATGTCTAGGTATGTGGTTCAGTAGTGTTAAGTATATTCACACTGTTTTTTTTTGTTTGTTTTTTTTTTGAGACAGAGTCTCACTTTGTTGCCCAGGGTAGAGTGAGTGCCATGGCGGCAGCCTAGCTCACAGCAACCTCAGACTCTGGGCTCAAGCGATCCTACTGCCTCAGCCTCCCGAGTACCTGGGACTACAGGCATGTGCCACCATGCCCGGCTAATTTTTTCTGTATGTATTAGTTGGCCAATTAATTTTCTTTCTATTTATAGTAGAGACGGGGTCTCACTCTTGTTCAGGCTGGTTTCGATCTCCTAACCTCGAGCAATCCACCCGCCTTGGCCTCCCAGAGTGCTAGGATTACAGGCGTGAGCCACCGCGCCCGGCCTATTCACACTGTTTTGAATCAGCTCTCCAGAACTTTTTATCCTGTACAATTGAAACTCTATAGTCATCAAATATTAATACTAACTCCCCACTTCTCTTTCCTCTGACAATCACCATTCTACATCTTGTTTCTACAAATTTGACCACTCTTGATAACTTCATGTAAGTGGGCTCATGTAACATTTGTCTATTTATGGTTTGCTTGTTTCACTTAGCGTAATTTCCTCAAGTTTCATTCCTGTTGTAGCATGTGTCAGAATTTTTTTCTTTCTAATGGCTGGATATATTGCATCATATGCATAAATCATCCATTCATTTGTTGATGGACATTTGGGTGGCTTTCACTTCTTGGCTATTGTGAATAATGCTGCTATCAACATGGGTGTACCAATGTCTCTTCCAGACTCTGTTTTCAATTTTTTTGGATATATACCAGGAGTGGGATTGCTTGGTCGTATGGTAGCTCTATTTTTAAATTTTTGAGGAAAGGCCATATTTTTCAATAGTGGTCACACCATTTTACATTGCCACCAACACGTACAGGTATTTCAATTCTCCACATTCTTACCAACACTTGTCATTTATTGAATTATTTTTAAAAATAATATCCTCCTAATGGGTGTGAGGTGTTATCTCTTTGTGGTTTTGATTTCCATTTTCCTTACATTAGTGATGCAGAGCATCTTTTCATATGCTTGTTGGCCATTTGCATATTGTCTTTGTCCATTTGTGCTTCTATAACAGAATGCCCAAGACTGGGTGATTTGTAAGGTACAGACTTTTATTTCTAATGGTTCTGGAGGCTGGGAAATCCAAGATGGGTGCTAGAATATGGTGTCTGGTGAGGGTCTTTTTGCGGTGTCTTTCAGAGGAGAGGAATGCTGCTGTCTTCACATGGCAGGAGATCAGAAGAGAGTGAATCCACTCCCGGAATTCCTTTTTATACTGGCATTAGTCCATTCTTGTGGCAGAGCCCTAATGACCTAAACAACTCCCCAAAGGCCCTACTTCCCAACTGTTGCATTTGGGATTGTTTCCAAGAAATGAATTTGGGGGGACACATTCAGATCATAGCACGTATCATCTTTGGAGAAATGTCTGTTAAAATCTGTTGCCCATTTTTAAATTGGGTTGGTTTTTGATGTTTAGTTGTAGGAGTTTTTAAAAAATATAATCTCAATATTAACCCATTATCAGATATGATTTGCAAATATTTTTTCCTATTCCATACATTGCCTTTTCATTCATTGATTGTCTCCCTTGATGAAGAAAAGTGTTTTAAGTTTGATGTAGTCCTATTTGTCTATTTTTTCTTCTGTGGCCTGTGCTTTTGGTATCATATCCAAGAAATTATTGCCAAGTTGTAAAGCTTTTCCCTTATGTTTTCCTCTAAATGTTTTATGGCATGGGGTCTTACATTTAGGTCTTTATTCCATTTTGAGTTAAATTTTGTATATGGCATAAGGATCCTACTTCATTCATTGGCATATGGATACTGAATTTTTTCAAAACCATTTGTTGAAGAGATTATCCTTTCCCACTGAGTGTTTGTAGCACCCTTGTGAAAAATCACTTGACCATATATATGCAAGAGGTTAATTCTGGGCTCTCTCTCTTCTATTCCATTGGTCTATTTTTCTGTCTTTATGCCAGTACCACATGTTTTGATTACTGTAGCTTTGTAATGTGTTTTGAAATCAGGAAGTGTGAGTCCTTCAACTTTATTCTTCTCTCTCTAGATTGTTTTTGTGATTCAGGGTCCTTTGAAATTCCATCTAAATTTTAGGATGCATTTTTCTGTCTCTGTAAAACATGTTGTTGGGATTTTGATAGGAATTGTTTTGAATCTATAGATCCTTTTGGGTAGTAGGGCCATCTTAACAATATTAATTCTTCCAATTCATTAATACAGATGTCTTTCCATTTATTTGTGTCTTTAATTTCTGTCAGCAATGTTTTGTGGTTTTCAGTGTAGACGTCTTTACCTTCTTGGTTAGGTTTATTCCTAAGTATTTATTTATTTTTTGATGCTAGTATAAATATAATTATTTTCTTAACTTCTTTTCAGTTTGGTTATTGTTAATCTGTAGAAACTCAATTGATTTTTTATGTTAGTTTTGTATCCTGCAACCTTGCTCAGGCCATTAGTTCTAACAGGTTTTTATTTTTTTTTGGTTGTTGTTGTTATTGAATATTTGGGGTTTTCTACATGTAAGATAATGTCACCTGCAAACAGATAATTATACTTTTCCCTGTCTCATTTAGATGCTTTTTATTATTATTATTTTCTGATTCCTCTGGCTAGGACTTCCAATAGTATGTTGAGTAGAAGTAGTGAGAGTGGACATTGTTGCTGCGTGTCAGATATTAGAGGAAAAGCTTTCAGTCTTTCATCATGGAGTGATGGTGCTTTCTAATAAATGGCCTGTATTATGTTGAGATAGTTTTCTTTCTATTCCCGGTTTATTGAGTGTTTTTATCATGAAAGGGTGCTGAATCTTGTCCAGTGCTTTTTCTGTATCAATTAAGATTATCATGTGGTTTGTTTTCCCTCAGCCTATTAATGTGGTACATCACATTGATTGATTTTTGTATATTAAACCATCCTTGCATTCCAGGAATAAATCCCACTTAGTCATGGTTATAACTCTTTGGATGTGTTGAATTTAGTTTGCTAGTATTTTGTTGAAGATTTTTGCATCAGTATTCACCAGGCTCATTGATCTATAGTTTTTCTTTTTCTTTTTTTCTTTTTTTTTTTTTGAGACAGAGTCTCGCTTTGTTGCCCAGGCTAGAGTGAGTGCCCTGGCGTCAGCCTAGCTCACAGCAACCTCAAACTCCTGGGCTCGAGTGATCCTTCTGCCTCAGCCTCCCGGGTAGCTGGGACTACAGGCATGCGCCACCATGCCCGGCTAATTTTTTATATATATATCAGTTGGCCAATTAATTTCTTTCTATTTATAGTAGAGACGGGGTCTCGCTCTTGCTCAGGCTGGTTTCGAACTCCTGACCTTGAGCAATCCGCCCGCCTCGGCCTCCCAAGAGCTAGGATTACAGGCGTGAGCCACAGCGCCCGGCCAGTTTTTCTTTTTATTGTAGTGACTTCGTGACTTCGTCTGGCTTTGCTATCAGGGTAATGATAATTTGATCAAATAAACTTGGAAGTGTTCCAGCTGTCTTTTGTCATTACCCCACTACACCTGTTCTTTCACTTCATTGAGCTCTTGTCCCTTGATAGCCCATTTTTTTCCAGGTTACCCAAGCTCCCTGCTGACTCCTCTGCTTTCCATCCATGCTCCTTCACTAACTCCTTGACCTCCTGTGATCTCCTGTCTCTCTGCCACACTGAGCTGACAATCCTGGATATGTCCTATGACAGGGAATGCTATTTGTTTACCCAGTATCCATG